GGGAGTGTTTATGAAATATGAGAAGAGTTTTACTTAACTATCGAGTTCACCGAGTAACCTAGAGGGTTCAGAGAAAGTTTGAAATGGATTCAGCATTGTATCCGACCTGGGGTACGCTAATGAATTCTATTGTGGAAAGGCATACACCGCATCTGATGAAGCAACAAACCGCGTCAAAACGACTAAAGGTTTCCTTACTTATTATTATTTAACCCAATAGAAAATATTTTAAATACGCAGACAAATAAAATTCCAGTAAATGATGTTAAATTTTGCGTCGTTAGTATTATTTTAAACATGATACTAAAACACTTCAGTTTATCAAAACACTAAGTCACAATTTTTTTTCACGATTTTATTAAATTACCTTTTTGTAATTTCGCTAAAAGGGACCGTGTCGGGTCGGACGAGCATTTATATGTTAATTGTGATTTCCCGCATCCGCTCTAGAAATGGTCGATACAGAAATACCTGTTAACGAAATAACAATTCTGGTTTTAAAAGCTCTTTTTTTGATAAGTTCTGTGCTGTGTTGTTACAATTTATTTTTAGATATATTTTTTTTGTCCACGTTCAGTAACGTTGACAAAATGTGATAGAAAAATATACGACATTTTTTTGTTTGAGCGAATGTATACAATATGTAATCAAGGATCAGTAATGAATTTGTATATTTTTATGGAACAGTACTGAGTCTGTGATTGAAGGAATCACAGCCTTCCAATAATATCGATATACAATTTATAAATGACAATAAAATTGTAATATTTCAATTCAACACAAAAATATCTTTCGCCTGAATTTCTGCAAGAATCCTTATTATTATTGTCGTAAAATATTTGGAACAAAATGTAAAAAGCTAAATTATGAATTGAACACAGAAATCATTTTTAATAGATAACAATAAGATAAAGTTATTTTTTTAAGTATAAGAATTACTTTTATAACTTTAAATAATGTTATATTTCTTTCATCTAATTATTGCAATCAAAGATACGTAGTTTCTCTGTGATAAAAAGGTCGATCCAATCAAAGTAGTAGGTGATTTCGGTTCGTTTAATATATACAGCATGTCCCCGAGTTTTACAAGATCATATTGCCCTTTTGTAATTCCACTAAAAGGGGCTGAGTCAACTTGAGTGAACAAATGATATGTTAACTAAGTTTTACCGGCGCTTGAGATAGCGTTAATAATTATTGTTACGGATCCTATGGGTTAACAGAAACTACGTACAAAGCAGAATTTCCCAACCAACACATTTATACGAAAGTATGTAAGAAACTCTTATTTTAAGGAGGATAACGCAGGCAGAATGCATTTCGAAAATTTAAAAACATTTATACATCTAGGTAAATAAATTATTTTAAATTAACAGTCAATCTCGATTCCACGTATTTCAACGAATCAAAACAAGACAATCGATGAAAACTTGGAGGGGAAAACTCTACCCTAATATAAGGAGATATATTATTGACGTTAAGACGAAATAAATAAATAACGCCACCTCCACCACACATTGTCACCTAATAAAATTTTTGTATACCAATTATTATTGAAAAATTTTTGTTTGAAAATATATTGTAATATAACATTTTCCAATCATCTGCCAGTTTCTAAAGATGCAACGCAATCAAACTGTTGAAAAATCCATTACTCTAGTTCATGGATTTGTTATTTATGAAGTTTATTTTAACTAATGAATAGGTTATGATGGCGTTGAAGATCGTTCTGGTATGAGATTTTCTCATATACCTCTGTGACTTAAATTAGAACTAACGGGGTTAAAACGCCCGCTCATATTTTCGGCATATTTTGGTTTTCTCGACAAACAGCTATGAATCGATCGCTTAGTGAACCAGACGTTTCATAACATCCAAATAATCTTCTCAGTATCACCATTACGGCTACTGAAAAATGAGAGAGACGCTCTGTACATTATAAGAATAGAACGCCTTTTTATAGAACTGTTTTTTTGTATAATTTTACACTTGTTTTGGAATGCTAAATGTGTATATAACATTTTTTTATAAGAGAGCATAAAAGAAAATTAATTTAAAGCACATGCTTTAAATTACATACATATGTACATCAACTGTTAATGTTAGGATGTCCCGACGTTAATTAGTTATGTTAATGAATACTACACGGTTAAATTCATTTAAATAATTTGCTGAAAAATGTGTAAGTAATTTGCTGAAAAATGTGTAGTGTGATATAGGAAAAGCTGTAACAAAATAGAAAAACTTGTATTCGATTCCCATAAAGGAAAATTTCTGTCCGGAAATTGCATAGATATCCGCTATCTGAAATAATAATTTGCTTTGTAATCAATAATATGTAAAAAGAAATAGATAGAAAGAGGAGAGAAACAAATGTGAGATTTTGTCAAGGACCAGGTTTGGTATTTGTTTAATTATTCGTACAATATATTATACGAATTACGTTTATGTTCCAATTTGCTGCAATTTGTATAAAAATTGTTTCACGAGTTGTTAACAACTATAAAACAATAAAATGCTTCAGAGCGCAATAAAATACATAACAATGACTTACAATTGTTTGGCTATTTACTATTCATTAAATTTGGATTACAGAAACCTTCAAAATATATAATCTTCTGTATCATATGATTTGACAATCATAAATTTGTACAAAGACTAACTATTTCAATAAAACTATTTGTTTTATTAATATATTGAAACTTATAAATAAAAAGCTTTAGGTCTATATAATAAACCACGACTAAATTCTGTACTAGATAGTTAAAATAAAACAGCTCAATCTAAAAATAAGACGTGATTAATTTTTGTTTTAATTTCGAAATTGAAAAGTAATTATTATTTCGACCATTTTATTGGAAACGGCCAATTCAAACGTTAGTCGTGTTAGCACCCGCAATGTGTGATAAACGGAGGCCGATCTGGTAATGGGATTACCGAATGGTTTCCCATACTAAAAGACTCGCGAAATAAACGAAACATACTACCTATATGGTTAGAATCTAGATTAAATAGTTTTATCTACGAGGGCTGGCTCTAACGGAATAATAGTATCCTCTCTCACGAGATTTTCAAATACATTTTTTCCTATCAAACATCTACATAAAATGAGACTTGAAGAATCTTATTTTGTCGTCCCTAATTCCATTCTGTCTTCTAAAATCTTATTATCCGATGAAATAATTAATCATTCATATTCTAATGTAACCATATTCTTTCTTTTTAATATTTAATTTAATGTAATTATACTTCAAGTGAAAAAAACACAAGCAACAAAAAAATGTACATCACGATGAGGTCAGAAGTAGGTATGATACGTAAGGTTATTACATATATAAAACATAAAAGATCTCAGGTAAAATTCAAATTGATTTTTTTTTAACCATGCAATTTAGATCTATTCAATTAAACTATTTTTTTAACTCTCAGTACCTGTGGTAAGGGAAAAGCAATAATTTCGAACCGATCGAGTTATACCGTACGTAATCCGTGACACATGTTCATGGTGCACTAAATCTGATATCGGCTGTTTGGTTTATTGATGAAATGTCGTAGAAAATATGAATATATATTGTACGTAGAATTATTATATATCAAAATAGCTTGTCGGAGCTCAATGCTGAGCAAAGGCCTCTTCTCACATTGAAAAGGATAGAGCATTAAGCATTGGGGTTGTTCAAGACGGACTGGCCATTTTAAACTTATAATTAAACACTTTAAGTCCAGATTTCCTCATAATGTTTTCCTCCACCGTCTATAAGTGGCGTCTAAATACTCTTAGAAAGTACATTTGACTCTAAAATGCAAGAGAGGCGGACCTTTAACCTCTAGGCCATCACGACTTAAATATATAATTACCACTTTGGTTAAATAATTTAGTATATTAGAGTGATCACAAATAGAAACGTGATAAGAAAACAATTTACTTATTTGTTTCTTTTTTGGATCTAAGTCAATCGGCTATTAATTTTAATCCCATAATCCCATATTGCTGTGTAATGGAATAATGGTACCTTGTTCATTAGTCTTAACAGAAATATATATATATGTGTAGGAGGAAAGACTAATGGCCAACGTATATTAATTTTTTGATTTCAATTTCATTTGTAGTGTTATCGTTTGATGGGTTAAAAAACAATCCTTTTGACTAATATTTAAAATCATAAGAAAATTTAAGCTTGATGTTTTAAGATTTTGTTCTTAAATCTTGTTTGAAACTAGTAAAGACCCACAATTAATGGTAACAAATATAAATAATATTTTTATCAAGACTACGAGTATTTACAAGCTCAATTGTACGTTAAAATTAGTTAGAACCATATTTCATGTTATTTGATTTATAGTAAAGGCATGACTCAAATCTCACGTCATTAAACTAAAAATTTCTATTTCATTTAAAAAAAAACCATTCGATTATATAAAATTTGACTTGAGACATAAATAAAAGTCTATAAAAACATAATAATCTTAGATAATACCTATTTATTTAAAAAAGCGATAGTGTACGCTAGTATTTAATTATACATTTATGCAAATATTGAAAATTAAAATATATAAAATAATAACACTAGATACTTTTAAACCTCCGAAACTTCAGAAAGAATAGATTTAGACCATTTCTATGTAGTTAACGATATAATATAGTTAACGAACGTGACCGTCTCAATAAAAATACTCCTCATCATTAGATTACACATTTTATTACACAAGAAATAAAACAATGTTACAATTCACACAATTTTATTGTATCATTACAATTTCAGCCTTGCTTTTATGAATATGTTTTTATACATACATTATTTACATCACAAACATGTTATAAGGAAAGAATACAGTAAAAAGTTACATCCAACACAATCATATCAATTTATTGCATGTATTCAAAATAATTATATAGATTACATTAAGAAATGGTACTGATGTTTAAAGTCTCAGTACAACGATAATCATAACATTCTTAGTTGATTGTCCGTAGAGCTACATTCGCTCTTCTGGTAATGTCATTGTCTCGATAGTCCCAAAATATTAGCTAACTGAGTGCATCTTGACACGACTTCGTCTTGTACCAAACTAAACGACATAGCTATAAGAATAAGTCCGAATACGATGTAGGCACAACACGCTATTATCTGCACATATTCGCTTCTAGAGTTTTCGCTTCCTTGTTTAGTGAGGAAGCTTGTGGGAACGAAATCTCCGAAGCCGATTGTTGCTAACGCGATGAAGCAGAAGTAAGCAGCGTCAAGGAAACTCCAGTCTTCCCATACTGAAAATATTATGGCGCCGACGCAAATGTATCCTAATAGTAGGAACAAAACGATGCCGATTGGAATATGACAATGTTCTAGATTGGGATTCTGATGATTAACTGTCTTTGAGGAACTGCTGGGAACTGAACAGTTCTTGGTTTTGTGATGTTCATCATTCCATATCAAAGGCACTCTTGATGGCGTGTCGTGTTGACATATCCTGGAAATAAATCAATATTTCTATTAACAATATGTTTCTACCTAATATTTTATTATCCTAATATTTTCGTCTCAAATGTAATTCGAAATTCTTATATTAAGAGGTTTTGTATTAACTACGTTGTACCACTCGTAAATCAATTGAGTGATTAGATAATCTAATAAAATTCTGAGTAATAAATGACAATTACAAAGAAATTTTCGTCAGTGTATATAATACCAAAATATTATAATAATAAGAAAACACTAGAGAAAGATTTGTGATACCGAAAATAACGAGAGATTAAATTATTATATTTGTAAGAAAAAAAAAAATATGAAATATCATTGATAGCATTAACAAATTTATATTATACTAGCTTTCCGCCCGCAGCTTCGCCCGCGTGGAGTTTGGTTATATCGCGTTTCCAAGAGAACCTTTCAAAAGTCTGAGATAAAAACTATCCTATGTTCTTTCTCAAGTTCAACTCGATCTCTGTACCAAATTTCATTAAAATCAGTTCAGTGGTTTAGGCGTGAAAACGTAACAAACAGACAGACAGACAGGGTTACTTTCGCATTTATAATATTAGTAGGGATTTATATTTACTTTTAATGATATATACATAATATTATTGCGTATTTATTTTTCTACGAAACTCTTCTTCATAGCACTATATCATTTCACCTTTCATCAGCGTCTTCGGAGTCAACTTCCTCCTGGTTCTTATAAACTTCTCCACACTCTTCTGCTATCAGCTGTTCTATGGCCGCCCCCCTGCCGCCCCTCCCCCTCCTCAGCCCCGCACCCCTCACCCCGCTGCCCCCCGCGTGTCCGTGGACCGTTGCCAAACACTTCTGACCGGTACGTTTCCTATCTAGAGTCTGTGTCTGAAGAGCCGATGATGTATGAGGTTCTGAAGATAATTAATGCTTCGTTATTTCAACCGTCTTGAATTCTATGAATTACGTAATTAATACGTAATTCATAGATGTTATCCATTCATAATTAAATACAGCAAGAGCTGTAAGTCTTATTGAGAAGTTTTAAATTATTTTGCATGACTTAGATTTATATATTAAACTTAGACTTAGATTTATATATTGAGTAACTAAATTTTAATTCCTACTATAGCAAAAATACTATATGAAGTCTGTTATATACTAAATTCCCAGCTATAGACAACAATACCTTCAACCAAGGTTTTCCGATTTCTTCCCAACGTAGCAGCCCGTGGACTTAAAGGAGCCTTTTCGAAGACCTGGCAGTATTGACCACGATCTCCTGCCCTGGCCTTAACCGTGCCTAAAGACCTGTTAGTTCTTGGTGGGAACGATGTATATTGATTGTGTTCCAGCGGTTGTGGAAGAAGACGCTGTTGCTCATGTAACTGGAAGTGGTTCTCCAGCTATATATAAATAACAGCTGTTAATACTTTCAAGTTATAAAGTATGGTTGAAGGAAGGCTTATTATTGGATGTGTTTTTGACTTCTTTATCGTATTAACTATGTGAGTAAATTTTATTTGAATCATCTTACATATAAAAAAATTTAAAAATATTTTATTTAGATTCATCCATTTGATTTTAAATGGTTCGGTTCATAATTAATAAATAATAAAGATAAAAGACCCGATTACGTATTCTACGAACTAAAAACAAAGAATGAAGATTAAAAGTAATTATCATATAAGAAATTGTATGCTAAATAAATAAGTATAAAAAAGTCTATACATTGTTTGCAATTATATTTTCTACCACACAATTATATTATCTAAAGCAAGATGTCGCATTATTAAAAAGACTTTTTTTTATCATAACGTTTTAATCAGATTATTGTTCGCTATAATTATTGAAGCATATTTTACGGACATCAAAGCGAATTTTAATTAAATTAATAAAGCAGCTTTATAAACTGTAAACATTTTTCAATTCTATTAATAAAATGTACATTCAATGTAAGATATCGTGATATATGTTAAGCCAATATAGTGAGCTTACCTCGCCATCTTTTCTCCATGTATTAGGCACTTTGTCTCTAGTTGCTTTTAGCCAAGCCAATCTCGCCAGTCTAGCCAGCGATGCTCCCAGACCGGCCAGGCATGCCAATGTAAGTGGCACGCCAGCCGCAGCATACGCCACTGTAGCCAATCGCCCGGCGGCTGTCCGTGGCGATACATTACCATACCCTTTGGGATTAAAAGACTTCGTTTTCATATCGCAGATTCTTTATAAAAATCTACTTTAAGCTTCTTATTACTAATAGAATATCTTCTTATACGCGTCCCTAACATAATACATAATATTTGTATTCCATTATAAAAGATACCTACCATGTTGGAAATGATTGATTGCATTTTCCTTTACAAGCAACAAGATACCGAAGATATTCTTATTAAGTAAAAAGTGTTGTTGTAAATTTGTAATCATGATGAGTATAACATTATGTGCATATTACATTATTTATTCAACATGTAATATTTTTATTTTAGTGTAAATTTGGAACAAATCTGAGATAAAAACCAGTTAATTACGAGTACAGAAATAGACTGACCTATAATGAGTTCTAAGACTTTCGCGAGTATTCAATTATATGAAACTAATATTATTCAGATTACTATGCTTATTTTATTATTTTAAAAAACTTCATACTCCCGACGTTTCGGTTACTTTTCAGCAACCATGATCATGGGCAGACGAGATGTTGCTTTTTATAAATAATCAAATACGCGTAGTAATCCGAATAATTTTAGTTAAATTCAAAGGCTAAAAATTCAAACCTATTGTGGTTATAAGAGTTATGCAATAGATGAGTGCTCCGGAGAATGTCCATTTAGACTCAGCAGCTAGTTCAGCGGAATAGGCATCCGTCTGTCTTGCAGCCGCCACTATTGATGACTCAAACTTTCGTAGCTGCTCATGCACGAGCCTTGTCCAATTACGTTCATACAGAACGTTTAGACGCTCTGAAACAACGAAACATATATGTAAAATATACTAAAATAATTTATCTTACATTTTGTTTTTATCGCAATGTAACAATAATCTATTGAAGCATTAAAATTGAAATTTGTAATCAATAATGTTTCTATATTAAATGTACGCTCAGTTATAAATTCAAAATATAAATAGTCAGTGTTATAAATTTTATTTATTTACCATAATTTCTTCCCCTTTTTGTTCAATTTCAAAGTTAATTTATGATATGATTTTTTTATTAAAAACTTCGATATCTAAATTCCAAGCCTTTTTGATATTTAATTAAATAGTTCACTAAAGCTTGTTTCCACGGTGTATAATATGAAAATTAAAGGAAGGGAAGTATAATGAGAATATTTTAGATTATAAATATATTTCGTTGTATTAAATTTACTTTTCACAGTGACAGTGAAGACGTCCATCAAGCAAACTGTACAATCTCCAACAATCTTATTGGTAATTAAAGTCTCATTAAGGGATGGCATTATTTTATAATACATTCAATTATTACATTAAGAAATACATAAAAGACATTTACGCCATACTTTTAAAAATATGTGTAGTTAATTTTTCGTTGCTAAAATAAATAACAATTTTATTTTTATAAAAGTTTTCTCCTTTATATCGAGAAGCGTTTACAATCCTCATGTTTTTCAAAGTGATGTTTTTACTGTTATGTTTATTATTACCCTGCTCTATGTTTAAATTTAATTTTGATGATTTGGATTATTATCATTATACGATTAATGAGATCTAAGACTTTCGCGAGTATTCATTGAAATGAATTTGCTGCAAAGTAACCGAGACGAGAGTACTATTTAGTTTTTAAAAGTTATAAAATTATGGATAGTAAATCGAAAATATTAGTTTCATTTTTATCATAGGATTACTTTAGTACTAATACCTCCTGTTGCTTACCGACATCGCATTGATTTATACAATATCGGTAAGGCCAAGTATATGTGGTTAGTGGAAGCCAAAATATAAGCATCTCAATTTAAAACGTAATAATTATTATTATTTCACAGGAAGCCGTCTCTACTGCTTAATATAATTTAAATATTTCTAAAAGGGCTCAATAATCAAGTACTGGAATCATTTTTGACACCTCGCTTCACCTTGCTATAGAATTTCATTTCACATTTCTTCAACAGATCATTTGTCTTTTATCATCATCTTTTACTTTTACTAGTATCACATGTAAATTATATGCCGTGACTAAAAACAAAATGAAATAATTAGTTAGAGCATTAAATAATATTTAATTGTCAAACTCACACAATTCGACGACAATATTGAATTGTTTTGGAGTAAAAATTTTCTTCTAAGTTCAAGTCGTTTGTCATCAAACATTTATTCAGGTTGTTTTTATTCCAATGTTGGTGTTTCTCTGACAGTTTGGGCCCCTTTTTGATTTGTAAATTTTTGTTCGAACAAAGATTGAATCAAAAACTTTTTGACCCTGTTGCTTATGTTTCAATCAATTTTTTTTTGCGGATAACTTGTAACAATGTGATCATTTACGTCTACCAAGAGGATGAATGTAAAAATTATAACAAAAAAAAAAAACAAAATTTAAAATTTCACCAAATTAAATTCACTTGTTATTATTATTTATAATTATAATTATTATGGTTACTCTAATACATATAAAAGAGTGAATGTCTATAACACACCATATAATGTACGCATATTTTTTTATATATTTTTTTGAAAAGAGTTCTTAAAGTTACCAAAGGACTCCAAAATAATTTAAAATTTAAAAAAGCAATGAATGTTAATTGGTTACTAATTAAATTAACCATTAAAATTCTCAGTATACATATTTTTTATTTATGAAAGGAAGATTAAATCTAATAAAAAAATCAAACATTAACAGAAGTTTAAATTTGTATTCGGATTCCTCATAACTCAATTTTTATAATTAAAAACACACATACATTTATTTATTAAAAATTTGATAACAACAATCATATGAAATAGAAATCAAGTTAAGAAGAATAATAAAGAAGCCAAATTATAGTTCACAAGATCTTATCTCTAACAGGCGATAATTTTGAATAAATAAATAAAAAATAAAAATGCAAAACTATTATAATATATTATGTTGTCAACAAGAACTGTAAGAAAAAATATCCATACAAAGGTGTTGAATAACTGTTGACAAACCTCTACATTTATTTCGCTAAGACCGTAAAATGTTTTGCTAATAGAAAATATACCTTTGGATCCATGAAAATTACATATAACGATGAATATAAAAAAAATCTTGGATCCATTTTTGTAGCAAATTGTTTGTCATTTGTCAGTCACGCGAAAGAACGCTTCCCTTTTGTTGTTTGCTTCGACCAAACCTCCTTACAAAGTAATGCTACCGTTGCATTATTTACAAAGAATTATTTCACATATATTTTGCGTCCTTGTATCCTTAAAGGTTTTATTTTTTTAGTATGTTAAAGCTTTTGAAAAATCAACCAATGTCTGATGAATACTATAACTTATCCTTGCTGTTTATCTCTATATTATGTTAATTCATGACCACTACATTTAAAACATGACATTTATGTAAATAACCTGAATTCCATTTTTTATCAGTGTGTGTAGAAAATTTTGTAACTAAATTAAAGTTTTATTAAGGCCTTCTGAGGTTCAATTAAAAGTTGGGAATGTAGCAAATAAATCCGTAATTTTGTATGTTGGTACAAGAACAACTTGTAAGAATAATGTTTGAGTTACAATTTGAAATTTGATGATAATATAGAAATTTTAGAAATGTTGATTATAAAAAATTATTTCTTGTTTGTATACAGACTATTTTTACCCATATATTTTATTCCGTCTTAAAAAAATGTTAATAAGGAGAAGGAATTTTATCTCTCGTGATATATCACGTTCCAAATTTGGTTTGTAAGATTGGAGTACTATATTAAAGACGTAATTAAAGTATTGGCTACATATACATATCTATATATATTATCGATTTCCAAAAAATAAGATCATTGGATTCAGAAGTCACGTATTCAGTTACCACGGTATAAATATTGGCAGAGCGAGACTCCAATAAAGATTGTATCCAGACAAAATTTCGGTACAAAAATTGTCACACTAGCGGCACGAACCGTCCTATCTCTGTCCTAACAGAGGCGATCTCGATTGAGTTCGTGATTCTGCATTGAGGTTCGGGTATACCTACATAGTGATGTTGTTAATGTGCGAAGTACTTTCAGGATTATATGAAGTCTTCGATGATCCGACAGATTGGAGATAAAACAGGTTGAAGGTCGTAAGCTTGTTTGTATTATATTATATAATACACACACAAATAATATACACTTTTACCTACAAATGCAACACCTAATAAATTGTTATTGTAACTTGTGTAATAACTATTTGCAGAACTGAAACATTTTATATTACATAATTAGAGTTGATAAAAACAAAGTGCTCGCTTTCAATTTATTTAAGTAAAAAACTGTTTTTTTCTTCTAAATTTTACGAGTAAAGGCATAATTTGTAATTGTTCCGCTGAAACTCGGCTATAAAATGGCGTTTCATAGTCGCTCGTGAGTTTTATAGTTTTAAATTAGTGAAAACGGTTTGTTTTTTTAATCAACAAGTTACTTTAACGATATATATAGAAATACTTTTAGTTATCATTGAAATAAATAACACGAATATATATGAAATGGTCATAGCACTTTTTTATATTCATGTAATGTATTCCCTTTTAATTAGTTTTATTTTTTGATTTAACCTTTTTGATTTTAATGGTCTTAGGTTGACCGTAATATAATACCTATTACCTATAAACTACTGAAACTGAATCATAGAATGGAAGTATTGACTTTCTGTAATAAATATTAGATAATATTATTAAAAGTTTACACAGAGTTTGCTGTAGTTTATTTCATACATTAACTTCTAATTGTACAACTTATGAAATTTATAGAATATCAAACAAAAGATAACTCAAAGGTGAAAAGAAATAAAGTATTATTTCTATATAATATATAATAAGAAAGCCATAATACTTAATAAACATGTCATGATACGCAATATTTCTTATAAATATTTCGAGAACCCTCACTTGAAGCGGCAGATATCAATTTCATATCTGCGGACATTCTCTTTGTATGAATTCAGTAAGCTCAATAAGATGAGACGGAACGTGACCCAAGAATCATACTAAAATATCCTGTGCTATATCTAAAACACAAACAAAGTAAACTAATATATACTAGTGCTAACACCATATTAATAAAATCTCGAATAAAATTCAATACACGTAAATTGTAGCTATCAAATTAGTTTGATATTCAAATAGTGTACAAAATAACGATACAATTTTTCATAACGACTAGAAAGTGTAATAACGAGTATATTCCACCGATAAAAGTTCAATGGTTATCCATAAATAAACGGCATGAAAGTTTAAATTGCGTGCAACGTTCTATACAAATTGTGGCTTACAATATATATGAGGGACCATTGTTGGGATAAGTTTAACTCTTCCATAAGTTTGTAATGCTATGAATATTGACGTTTAGATTTTATACATTGAACGAATTAATGTTCAGAAAAAATGATCAACCGCGTTCAAATTTTCGCCTTCAATTAAAAGTTGGACATGTGGCCGAATTGAATGCTCGTGTGAAGTTGGGCTCGTATTATAATACCACGACAATTTCCAATACATTTTCGTTACTGAATCTATTTTTAATTTTAAAGTTAATCAAGTTAAAAACGGAACTTGGGTTAGTAATTTGAAAATCGTTTTATTACTTAGCAAGGATCATCATACTTACATAATACTTCAAAATTTTGTAGTTTTTAAAAATTACAACATAACTATAAGTTTAATATTAAATAAATAATATATAAAATTAAAATATAATTTAGCATTTAATTCGTCTCATTAGGTATTTTAACCTGACTTACCTAATTCCCCATTGCAACAACTCAAATTAAGATAAAATTCGTTTCTAATTTAGTGGTTAAAGAATATCTTAAATGGAATAACTGTTGAACAATAACTTAATGAGAAAAATATATTTCTCTCCTGATCATTCTACCGCACTGGAGTTGATAATAAACACAAAATTTGTATTAATGACACCTATAATTCAACCAAAGTAATCGTTTATTTCTCTTATTTTAATTCCTTAATTATATATTTTGAAGTATTCTAATACAAACCTTATGTATAGAACCTTAAAATTGAATTTTAAATATTAAGTACAAAAATATGTATTAACGTGTTTGATGTAAACACGGAAATTGTTGTTTTCGACGCAAGGTAATAGGGAAATGTCCGGCAGGACACAGTATACAAAATTCTAGAAGAAAATTGATGTTTTCGTTTCCAATATAAATGTAATAATCTGAGGATAGATTGAATATTAAGCAGTAGGATTTTGGAATAAAATACAATAGGATTTAGGCAATAAACACAACACAAATATTATTTATTGATTAATAAAAAAATATACCAGAAATCTACTTATTAAAATAAGTGTCGTCATTTCTATTATTAATGAATATCACAAAAATTATAAAATCAATGCCATTTAAAATGCTCAGTTACTTAAAATAGACTGAAAGTAACATTTGTATCGAACTCAAAGTAATATATGGATTGTTTCTATAATAGCTCAGTACGATACGATGTTTAATTAGTATAAGATAAAAACACAAACCTCTACATGGAGATACACTCACGTTTGATAAGCCCTTCTAATTCAGTACGTCAACCCGTGTTCCGATGCCAATCAATCGAACCGCTGGAGCTTTATCAACACAAATACGAGGTTCTTGGCATCCAGCCAACTAATTATTCATGTATATGCAAATACAAAACAACAATTGCTCTGCCATTTACCCTTTTCTAATTAGTTTTCATTATAATCACAATCACGATTGCCGTGTTAAGTTTTTTTCGAAATAGAGTTACATTTTTATGAAGAACGTGACAAATGAAATATATCTTAATTA